CGACTTTCTTACCTCAAATCACGCGACTTTTAAACTCTTAAACATGTGTGTAGACGTCATTACTAAATATAATTCCTATTCTTTCCGGGTACTTCGATTTAACGCCAATTTCGGTGGAGAATAAGCATTGACGCTAAGTCGAAATTTGGCTATAATTTTAAATTATTTTTTTAATATTACGGACCTATTAATGTAATTAGATTTAAAAATAACTATATATTTAATAAATATGACATTCGTGTAAGTTGCAAGCCGATACTGGCCTTTTAAGTTCAGGTTTTTTTTTTCAGAATTTCGTTTTCTAGAAAAGTTTACTAGAAGAATTCTAGAATTTTTAATTTATTTTACGTAAGACGAATGTAGAGAAAAACCAGTCCGCGTAGAGTTCTTTATAATTTCTCATTTTATTGACTAATAAAAACGCTATAAAATTTCTTTATTAACATTTTTAGGTTAACATAAAATATTTTATAACACATGAATACAAAATTGTCTTTTATCTTACGATGTATTTAAATTCGAGATCATAAACGATTGATGTAAGAAAAGATTCTTTTTAAATATTAAATCCAAACTAAAATCTAAAAAAAAAAATCTGAAAAATTATGTTGTATATTAGTAAGAATTATACCTAAAATTCCATAGCGGATCGGATGATTTTTTTAAACCATTTGAAATAGTGCGTAAATCCGCATTTACTCATTCGAGCGTTTTATGAATTGCTTATGCTTAATATTAATTATTTTTAAATCGTTTTCTTCTCTAATAATTGTGCAGAGAAAGTAAAATCCGTTTTATTTATGTATTTATTTGGAAATACCTCTTAATTAGTTGATACAGACTTTATCTAAGAATTACTTCATTAAAAACTTCATATTCTCGGAATTTTTAATATCAAGAAGTGCTTTACAAATAATTTTCATAGAATTCATCACGATGAATTCGATGAAAATTATTATTATTATTATTTTTAATACCAAAACAACGCTCCAGTTTTAAGCATTTTCAAATAAAAATTTGATTTATAGGACTGTATAGTAGATTTATATAAAAATGCCAAAAACATATTCGTCTAATGTTTTGTTTAATTTACATATAATATAACAAAAATATCACATTTTTTCTCTACTGACATACATTTAAAAGTATCGAACAAAAGTCGTATCACAAGTTACACTTCATCAAGTTATATGAGTCACGTTAAAGTATCAATGCTTCCATTTTCTAAGTAGTTTTTATGGTTTCTAATTATAAAAGATCGTGATAAATATGTGTATTATTTTTTTAAAATTATCTCTTTAATAATAAATTAATAAAGTACAATGCAAACGATTGTCGTTTTAATTATAACTAAATGAAAAAATTTAAATATAGAAGTTATATTCTATACTTTTAATTTTTTTTAATATTTAATTAATTATGTTTTATATTTTATATAGTAAAAATAAATAAAAAAAACCTCACGTGAACGATAAATATAACTTGTATAATCTATATCTGTTTTTAGTATCTGGTTTAAAAGTATGTATTATAATCCTGTAATTCACTGGACATTTTTAACTAACGAGAACAAATCAATTCAAAAATCTCACTTGTCACAAAGATTTTCCTCTTAATCTATTTTCGTTAAACACGCTCGAGAATTTAGGCCTATATTTATGTCTAGTAGTAACTTTTATAAATTAATCGCCTCAAGTTTTATTTTTTAATCGATCCACAAAAAGAATGTCGTTCGAGCAGTTTACAAGGAACCACATTTATTTAACACGTTGCAGTCTTCTAGTGAAAGTCGATCAAAATGGCTACTACAAAACTAGCAGATGGAATCATCATACTTAACGGTAAGAGACCTTTTCCTATGTTTTCCACTATCTCGACTATTTGGATCGGTCAAATGCGGACTTAATTCCGGGTTTTCCCCGAAAACAATTGATCTGATAAGGCGGCCATTTTGGAAATCGTTTACACCAATAAAGAGTAAGGTGTAAATTACCGTTAATAATTTAAAATCTAGTCTAATGATAGATCGTGTTTGAACTGTAGATCTTGGAATAAAACGTATCTAAGCCACTTGTATCTCGACTGCTAGTCTATATCTCTGATTTAAACTGTAAAGAAATAAATTAGAAGAGCAAATTTTATTATATCGTTTAAGAAAATCATGCTGAAAGTCGGGACAAAAATTAAATAAAATAAATAAATAAAATAAGCTTAAGATAATTACCAAAATTAAAAAAAAAAATCCGCAAAAATTTTAAATTATGTATAATGAAAGACACCATTAAATTATAAATCTAATGGTGTCTTTCGGAGGCTGGCATTTTACGTCTGTAGGCTAAATTTACGATAGGAATGCGTATGCCCAATATAAGTTTAATGTGAAATTTTTAAGAGGAATTTATTAATTAATTCGTCAAGAATACAAATACAAAAACAAAATTTAAAAAGATGTTGTTGTTGTATCGTTTGTAATGTTAACAAAAAGTTACATATGTTATTAAAACTGTATTTTATATCTGGGGTGAGAAAATTAACGAGAATGGTTGCGAAATTCGAAATTATTTTTAAATATTCATAACGAATGCTACTATTGGAAGAAAACTTGTAGTCTATAATTATTCCTTATAATTTTCCGTACTAAAATTCGTCTTTGCTACAATATTGCTTATCGACATTTTCAGATTCTCTGAGTATTTCCCTCTTGGTTCTTTTTCATTTCTTTGTAGGAACGTGTCTCCCGGCAACGGGTTAAAGTGGAAAAATGACCAAAGTATAACATACCCTTGGCAAAGATATTACAAAAACGTTTATTGTTTTATCCTTTAGCCTAAAGACCATTTTGAATGTTTTCCTTTCCAGTTGAGACCGGTGCTGGCATTCGAAGGTCAAACTTTAATGCGACGAAATCTAATAACTATCACTCGGTTAACTACAAAACTACAAGGAAAGAATTCTGGTAAAGAGAAAGAAGAAAACTTTTTTTTTAAAAGCCAATTTTCAATTACAAATATTCGACTAAGAAATCTGACCTTAATGTTTATTTGTCGAAATTTAATATTCTTATGTAAATATAATGTTATTTCAAGCAATTTAAGCGTATTTAATTTATTTTAAAGCGTATTAAGATATATTAAAGTGCTTACTGTCGTTAATATTGATGTGGAAATTCTCAGATAAGAATGTATAAATTTAGAAATTTCTAAAAAAAGTTATACTTAAATTTTTCGATCGATATTTTTAACTTTTAAGCTTAAAATTTAATTTTTTTAAAAGGTAATTTCGGGGAAAGAAGTCGAGTTGCAGTCGAATATAGACAAAATCTTAATTGATTACCAGTTAAACTGTAAGCATTCCATCCTCTACGCACAGTTAAATCTGATTTGATTTTAAAGACGTTTGTTTGTGTTACGTTTCATTCATAAACATAATTATTCCTTATAATATAGCATTAAAATCAATTCTGAATTATTTACTATCGAAACTGTTAATAGAATATTAATTAATTTATGTAGTAAGCACTAAAATTTATCACTCATTCCATTTTTTTTTTTTAAATATAATTTTTATTTAATAAGCTAATTTAAAATCTCTCTACAGCAGTAAAGTTCTACAGCAAAATAAAAAATAATTTTAATAATTCGTTATAATAATGGAAAGTTTAATAAATCAGTGCTCAATATTTATTATAAACTTTAAAAGTTCGTGATAAGTCTGTGTAAGTAATGCTTATCACAGATTTCAAATGCCATAAATATACTCATGGACTTATAAGACAGGTCATACGAATATAAGGCATTGATTTAAAAATTTTTCACTAATTTATAGCAATAATTTAGCCAATCTCCAACAAAAATAAAAGTACAGCTTCCAATAGTAAAGATTTTTTCCCTTCTTTCATCCAGTCACATTAGAAACTCCATTCGTAATAACCGAAAGAATCATTTTATCGAATGGTGAACGAATGAAATAAAAAAAAAAACATTGCTCTTTAGATCCAAATTATAATGTAAATCGGTGGATCAATATCCCATCCGAAATGAAGACAAACTAGAATATGACGCAATAATTCTTGTCTGTGACGAACCTTGGATAGAGGATAAATAGGACGATGGAGAGAAGGGGGAAAAGATATTAATGGCTGTACAGATGTTCTTGTCTTTAGAGACAAAATAAAATGAATAAGTAGATAATAGGAGTTATCATACAATAATGCACTTTCAAAAAGATAGAGTTTTTTTTAGTTAATTACCATTTAAAATTATTCCGAATCGTGTTATTAATGTTTCATACTTTTAATTTACAATTAGTACTTTTAATTAATGTAAAATAAAATTTAAAAAATAACGTAATATTTAACAGAAATATCACTTTAACAGTTGACAATGCTTTGTCTAAAGAAAAAAGAAAAAAATATAAAAATTAAATTAAATTAATATCAAACTTATTTTAGAAATTTTGAAAACAAAATAAGGGTATTATTTTTTAATTTTTTGAAATAGAAATTGTCGTCGTGTGAGACAATAGTAATGATATAAATTTAATTTTTATTCAGACAGCTTGTCATTTTTCTCTTTAACTAGAAATAAAGAAAAATTGTTAATTAACAAAATCTATTTCTATTGTATTGTATCCGAAGGAAAATTTTTAACAACTTTTTTACTAATGAAAACGAAATCTAACAAAATATACGTTATTTATTTTATAATTTCGTAGATTAGATATCGACCCTATTAAAAAAAATCAAGGATTTCCTATACAAAATTTAACTACTGTATTCTATCCAAAAATTAAATTAAAATAATATATATACATACTTTTTTTTCAATTAAATATTTTAATGATATATGAACGAATTTAATGTCGTATTATTCAAAAATAAACAATTCTTTATTCCGAATTAAAGCTGTAGATAAACGTATTTACTCGTTAGCATTTTATATATTTTGAACAATCTATACACGTAGACCTCATCGTATGTAAGTAAAAAAAAAAAAAAAAAAATGAAACTTACTTAACACTTTTAGCCATTTCATCTGCTACTGTTTCTTTCCTCTGATAAATTAATGGTTGAAGATCAAGTCCAGAACAAAACTGATTACCTGTTCCTGTGAGCAATAATACTTTACAAGTTGGATCTCGCATAGTTGCCTCTAATGTTTCTTTAAGTTCTACAATATCCTGTACATAAAATATAAATTTTATTGTTATTAATTTTTGAAAAGTAACAAACAAAACAAAAATTACAAATTATTCAATTCAAAGTTTAAAATTAATTTAAATTTTATATAAATTTAAACTTCAAAACAAACCTCGACAGATAAAAAATTATGTTTGCGGCCATTAAATTTAAACATGACTTGAGTATAATTTGCATTCCTTTTGACTGTAATGCCTTTATAATGTAAAGTAAACTCATGATGTGAAAGTTTAAACTGACTGCTTTCTTCACCTAATTTTCTTTTTAGAATTCTCTGGTTATTCTCAGTTGATTTTTGAGATCCTTGAATCCTCATAGTTCCAAATGCTAATTTTTCATCTTTTCCTATTAAGTTATGATTAAATAATTATTCAGTTTAAGTCTTTATATATATAAAACAAAAATAAGATATACACTCTACCTGAAAATATTTAGAAATAAACATAAATTAAATGTATTATTAAATATCTATGTTTAATCTAAATCATGGATGGCCAACCTGCAGCACACATGCTACAGTGTTGGAAGGTGGAGTT